TAAGGGATCAGGATTTTGGGGATATGAAAGGCAGGACTACAGATCACTAGCCCAACAATTGCAAACTAGAGTTGTAGGACGAGTGTTCCATCCAAGACCATGGAGATATTAGGTACCCCTTGTACTGACAGATACCATAGGGGGGACCTCCAGTAAGGCTAACTAAGTCCGGAGGCCGGCAAGCAGGAATGCCTCGCTTGGGATTTTTGTAGAGTGGAGTCCACATGTCTGAGCAGAATAAGTCCATTGTTCCTGTGTCCAGCCATCACTGCAACCATAGGTAAGTCTGTCCTCAGGACACAGGGAAAACCTATACGGCTGGGTGGCACCCGAATGCCAGGATATCCCCGTGGAGTGGAGTCCACTTGACTGAACGGAGTGAGTCCATCCTCCCCATGACTGGCCATCATGGGGAGTGTTGGCAAGTCTGCCCTCAGGACACAGGGTAAAATTTCATACCCCAGGTACTGTATTTGCCAGGTGAAAAGGGGCCTGGGCTACTGTGGTATTCAGACCATAAGACAACAATGACCCAGGACAGCCCAGAGGCTAGCTGGGCCACTTCTAACTCTCCACTGGGAATTTATATGTCTACATAGATGGGGAACCGGTGCACAGTGCCTTGAAATGCCCCTTTGGGTGAAATTTGACCCTGAATCCCTCAAGCTTCTTTTGCAACATAGCCTGGCCCCACTATAATGTGGGCAAAGGAGAGGTTTGGCCAGTTAGTGGCACCATTAAGTTTCATGCTATCCTGCAGTTAGACCTGTTTTGCTTTTTCCCAGGGGAAGTGAATGGAGAATGAGGCCTCCTTAGAGCAGTGTCTTTTCCACACTTGCAAGCCATTTGGATGCTCAGAAATGACCCTCAGTTATTTGCTATGTGTAAACTAGACCTCTCTGTAATTGCTACAGAGCCTGAAAGAAAATACATCCAAAAGGAAAGAAACATTCCAAAAACTGGATGAATGAATTTTAGTCCTTTGCCAATATTTGCCTATCCTTAAGTTACTGGAAATGACTTCCCTTGTTTTACAGATAAAATCTTCACAGGGTCAGAGGTGTGGCTCCAGAAACAATTCAAGCCAGCAAATGCTTTTACCTTTCTAAAACATTCCTATGGGGCTCAAAATGCTTATAGATAATTGACTTTATGAAACCAAATTCCTAGGATCTTTGAAATGCAAGTACCTGGTCTAAAACTTTTATCTAGGCTATCTTTTAAATTGCAAGTTTTGGGGAGGTAACCCTTATTGAAAGGAAAAAACAAAACAGAAAACCCTTAGCCATGTGAGCAAATAAAATTAACTCACTTCAGCTATTAAACATTAAGTGTACCTACTTTGAGCTTCTTAATACAAAAAAGCTAGAAAACAGATTTGGAACTCTTGGTATATTCTTTCTATTTGGTTGAAAATGTGTTGCTTGAAAATAAGAGCATGTTTAATCCATTGTGCGCCATAAGCGTCTGTAGACACAAGCAGCAGACCTTCCCAGCATGCCATGCGCGTCTATTAAAAAAAAGTTTTCTCTAAGTGGCAGCCCTGACCAACTTTAACATCATTTTTCGTGAGACTTTTTAGCTGAAAATATTCAAATACACCGAATTGTGAGTAATATATTAATTTTTATAATATTCATTGCAAATTGATTTTTTAAATTAAATTCAAAATATCATGGTGTGTGGGGATGGTTTCCGTTTTGGACACGTGGCAGTAATGTGCTCATAGCCCTAGCTGGTTTGGCTCTGTAGATACATTGTCGGCTGGTGGACCAAATGGTTCCGGGTTCGAGTCCAGTCAAAGGCACATACCTTGGTTGCAGTCTACTCCCTGGCTTGGGGCCTGGTTGGGGGCTCATGTAGGTGGCAACCATTCGATGTGTTTCTCACACATGGATGTTTCTCTCTCCCATCGATGTTTCTCTCTGTCTTTCCCTCTCTCTTCCATTCTCCATAAAAATCAATGGAGCCCTGGCTGGTTTGGCTCAGTAGATAGAGCATCAGCCTGTGGACCAAAGGGTCCTGGGTTTGATTCCAGTCAGGGCATATGCCTGGGGTTGCCTGCTCTATCCCCAGTAGGGGTTGTGCAGGAGGCAGCCGATCAATAATTCTCTCATCACTGATGTTTCTAGCTCTCTTTCCCTGTTGCTTCCTCTCTGAAATCAATAAAAATATATTTTAAAAAAATCAATGGAAAAATATCCTTGAGTGAGGCTTGACATAAATAAATAAATAAATAAATAAATAAATAAATAAATTGTGCTCATTAAAGTCAATCTAAGGAATGCTGGTCATTTACTTTGGTTATTATTGGAAATTGAGGTTTCTAAGAGTTAAAAGTTCAAATTAGTTGTGTGGACAAAAGGGCCACATGACCTGACAAGCTCAGGGAAGGCCTGCATAGCAGTTTAACCACAAGGATGGTCAGAAATGAAAACTTTTAACTAAAAGCAGTTATGGTAGGTAGTCATCTCCTAGGCCTGTATTGTTTTTTGGCAAGGTCAATCTTAACTGAGCTCTTTATCTTTTTGCATCTATGATAACATATCATTGAAATATCAGGGTAACTTGTAACTTCCTTTTTTTTGGACCCCTCAGGGCAAAAGCAATGCCCTGGGCAACAGGACAGATACTACAAATTCCTTCATTGTTATTGTTATCATGTTTTTTTTTCAGGTGTTGTTTTAAAATTATTTTTTTGTTTAGATGCTGGGTTTTTAATTTTTTTTATTGTTTATTTATTTTTCTTTATTGATTAAGGTATTGCATAAATGTCCTTATCCCCCCCATTGCCACCCCCACCCCACTCCCGTTCATGTCCTCACACCCCTGGTGTCTGCGTCCATTGGTTATGCTTATATGCATGCCTACAAGTCCTTTGGTTGATCTCTCCCCCTTACCCTCACCCTCCTCTACGTTCCCTCTGAGGTTTAAGCACCTGATCAATGCTTCTCTGTCTCTGGATCTGTTTTTTTTTTTATTCATCAGTTTATGTTGTTCATTATATTCCATAAATGAATGAAATCATGTGATATTTATCTTTCTCTGACTGGCTTATTTCACTTAGCATAATGCTCTCCAGTTCCACCCATGCTGTTGAAAATGGTAAGAATTCCTTCTTTTTTACAGCAGTGTAGTATTCCATTGTGTAGATGTACCACAGTTTTCTAATCCACTCATCTGCTGATGGGCATTTAGGCTGATTCCAAATCTTAGCTATGGTAAATTGTGCTGCTATGAACATAGGGATGCATATATCCTTTCTGATTGGTGTTTCCAGCTTTTTGGGATATATTCCTAGAAGTGGGATCACTGTGTCAAATGGAAGTTTCGTTTTTAGTTGTTTGAGGAAACTCCATACTGTTCTCCACAGTAGCTGCACCAGTCTGCATTTCCACCAACAGTGCACGAGTGTTCCTTTTTCTCCGCATCCTCACCAACACTTGCCATTTGTTGATTTGTTGATGATAGCCATTCTGACAGGTGTGAGATGGTACCTCATTGTTGTATTGATTTGCATCTCTTGGATAATTAGTGACTTTGAACATGTTTTCATATGTCTTTTGGCCTTCCTTCTGTCTTCTTTCGAAAAGTATCTATTTAGGTCCATTGCCCATTTTTTGATTGGGGTGTTTATTTTCCTTTTGTTAAGTTGTATGAGTTCCCTGTAAATGTTGGAGATTAAACCCTTATCAGTGATAACATTGGCAAATATGTTCTCCCATGCAGTGGGCTTTCTTGTTGTTTTGTTGATGGTTTCCTTTGCTGTGCAAAAGCTTTTTATTTTGACATGGTCCCATTTGTTCATTTTCCCTTTAGTTTCCATTGCCCTAGGAGCAGTATCAGTGAAGAAATTACTTCGGCATATGTCTGAGATTTAGCTGCCTGTGGATTCCTCTAGTATTTTTATGGTTTCCCATCTTATGTTTAAGTCCTTTATCCATTTTGAGTTTATTTTTGTGTATGGTGTAAGTTGGTGGTCTAGTTTCATTTTTTTGCATGTATCTGTCCAATTTTCCCAACACCATTTATTGAAGAGACTATCTTGACTCCATTGTATGTTCATGCCTCCTTTGTTGAATATTAATTGTGCATATTGGTTTAGGTCGATTTCTGGGTTCTCTATCCATTGATCTATATGTCTGTTTTTTTTTTGTTTTTGTTTTTGTTTTTTTTTAACATTGGGGACCAGTTCAATCAACTGCCACACAGCATGGAGGAGTGTCCTGCAGCCATGACAACAACAAGGGCCATCTTCTGGGGTTTCTGCATAATTCACAACGTGAACATGGAGATTCAGCAATGCTACACACTTTCTACTGTAAGATCCTACAGTATCTAGGAGTGTATACACACACATGCACCAGGAGTCAAGTCCACAGTGCACTTGGCTGCTGGAAGTGGTAACTTTCAAACCTTCAAATATTTCAGTACATTCTCTCAATGGTTTTAACTAGATAAGCTGGGGGGGGGGGTGTAAAGGCAGAGGCCCAGCGTCCTCACCCGGAGCCCGCGGCGGGAGTGACGGCCGGGCCTGCACACACGGAAGCCGTCTGCTCTATGCTGACATAGACACGGGGCCTGGCATCCTGGGCAGAAAAGGGGCAGAGCAGGCCCGAGGGCAGTGCCAGGGAGGAGCGGAGCCAGGCACCCACACCCACGCCAGCCTGTCCTGCTGTGCCCTCAGGGTACAGGGACAGGCGTGTGGCCGATGAGGTAGGGGCCATGGAGCCCAGCGGGAATCAGGGTGAGAACAATGGCGCGGAGCTGGAGAGCTCCCGGACTGCAGGGCTTGGGGGCGCTGGGGGTGATGGGACACGGGGTCAGAGGGAAGCCTTGGGGCCACGGGGTCAGGCAGGGGGCAGCAGGGCCAAGAACCCCACCGCCCTCCAGACAGGAACACAGGGGCCCCTGGGGAGAGGCTCTGGGGGAGGGGCCAGCGAATCCTTTTGGGATGAGCATGGCCCGGCTCTCTGGGCAGGAGGGAAGCCCCGCGCCCCTCACCGGCCACTGCCACCTCCGCCACCCCCACCCCCACTGCCCCCCTGGCCCCCGGCATCCGGTGCTCCCGACATCATGAGGAACAGGACGACAGGAATGATGTATATCCAATATTTGGCGAAAAAGGACTTCAGCTCCTGCCGGTTCTTGGCCTTCTGGGCCTGCTCCATCTCCAGAAGCTCGATGAAGGAGGCCGTCTCCGGGCCTGGGGCCGTGACCGGCGGCTGCAGCTGCACAGACGTGTTGAACAGCTCCAGGTCCACGTCCTCCACCTCCTGGCCCCGGCAGCCCCCGAGGTGCGTCACCACCGACAGGCCCACCACGTTGCCGGCCACATCCACATGCAGCATCAGCTGATCCGAGAGGTGCAACTCCACCAGGGAGCACGCAGGGACGAAGGAGGAGACGTAGCAGCCAGCTTCTGGGCCGTCAGGGGCGCAAGGCCGCCTCGGAACCCGGACCCGGTACAGGCCGTTGAGGGCTGCCGCATCCCGGAGTCGGCACGGCTCCTCCTCGTTGAGCTGCAGCTGCGACAGTGACAAGGTGCTGTCCCGCTGGTTCCAGAGTATGGAGCCGCGCATCCGGAAGTGGGTCCTGTGATCGATCTCAAATGAGTGCTCCATCAGCAGCCCCACGGTGCCACAGGCCTCGTCTCGACCTTCCACCCCGGCCTCCCACGCAGCGGCCCGGGACCCGCAACCACTGCCCCGCGCCGGGCTGGGGGCTGCGGCCGCCATGAGCAAGAGCAGGAGCAGCCGAGTGGCCCTGGCGCCGGCCGCCGCCATTTTGGCCCCTTCCCACCAGCCCACGGGCCAGAGTGCGCCAAGCGCCATGGAGCATTCTGGGAGTAACGGACCGCATCCAGCACGCGTGCGCCTGCGCCTGCGCCAGCTCCCCAGTCTGCGCACTCTAAATGTCTGTTCTTGTGCCAGTACCAGGAAGTTTTGAGAACAGTGGCTTTGTAATACTGCTTGATATCTGGCATTGAGATCCCACCTACTTTGTTCTTCTTTCTCAGGATTGCTGTAGCTATTCGGGGTCTTTTTTTATTCCAGATGAATTTTTGGAGAGTTTGTTCTAGGAGTGTGAAATATGCCGTTGGTATTTTAATGGGGAGTGCATTGAATTTATAGATTGCTTTGGTTAGTATGGACATTTTAATGATGTTGATTCTACCAATCCAAGAACATGGTATGTTCTTCCATCTGTTTATGTCTTCCTCTATCTCTTTTTTCAACGTCCTGTAGTTTTCTGAGTAGAGGTTTTTTGCCTCCTTAGTTAAGTTTATTCCTAGGCATCTTAATTTTTTGGTGCGATGGTAAATGGGATTGCTTTTTTAGTATCTCTTTCTGTACTTTCACTATTGGTGTATAGAAATGCCATAGATTTCTTGGCATTAATTTTGTATCCTGCTACATTGCCGAATTCATTTATTAAGTCTAATAATTTTTTGATGGAGTCTTTACGGTTTTCTATGTACAGTATCATGTCATCTGGGAGTAAGATAAGTTTTACTTCTTCTTTTCCAATTTGGATGCCTTTTATTCCTTCTTTTTGTCTAATTGCAATGGCTAATACTTCCAGTACTATGTAGAACAGGAATGGCGAGAGTGGGCTTCCCTGTCTTGTTCCTGTTCTTAGTGGAAATGGTTTTAGTTTTTGCCCATTGAGTATGATGTTGGTTGTGGGTTTGTAATATATAGCTTTTATTATGTTGAAGTATGATCCTTCTATTCCCACCTTGCTGAACGATTTTATCAAGAAAGGGTGTTGGATTTTGTCTAATGCTTTTTCTGCATCAATTGATATGACTATGTGATTTTTATCCCTCAATTTGTTTATGTGATGTATCACGTTTATTAATTTGCGGATATTGTACCATCCTTGCATTCCCAGGATAAATCCTACGTGGTCATGGTGTATGATCTTTCTGATGTACTGCTGAATCTGATTTGCTAGAATTTTGTTGAGGATTTTGGCATCTATGTTCATGAGGGATATTGGCCTGTGATTCTCTTTCATTGTGTTGTGTTTATCAAATTTTGGTATTAGGGTGATGCTGGCTTTATAGAATGAGCTTGGAATTGTTCTTCCTCTTGAATTTTTAAAAATAGTTTGAGGAGAATAGGTTTTCTTTCTTCCTTGAATGTTTGATAAAACTTCCCGTGAAGCTGTCTGGCCCCGGGTTTTGTTTGCTGGAAGCTTTTCGATGACTGCTTCAATTTCTTCCAACGTTATCGGCCTATTCAGGTTTTTAGATTTTTCCTGATTGAGTTTTGGAGGGTTATCTTTTTCTAGGAATATGTCCATTTCCTCCAGGTTGTCTAGATTGTTGGAATAGAATTGTTCATAGTATTTTTTAACAATCCTTTGTATTTCGGTGGGGTCTATTATTATTTTGCCTGTTTAATTTCTGGTTTTGTTTATTTGGGTCGTCTCTCTTTGCTTCTTGGTGAGCCTGGCTAGAAATTCATCAATCTTGTTCATCCTTTGGAAGATCCAGCTCTTGGTTTCATGGATCTTTTGTATTTTTTTCTCTATTTCATTTATTTCTGCTCTGATCTTTAGTCTCTCATTCCTTCTGCTCATCTGGACTTTTCTTGTTCTACCACTTGTTTAAGCTGTAAAGCTAGACAATTTATTACAATTTTTTTTGAGGTAGGCCTGTAGAGCTATGAACTTCCCTCTGAGGACTGCTTTTATTGTGTCTCATAGATTTTGGATTGTTGCGTTTTCATTGTCATTCATTTCCAGGATGTTTTTGTTTAAAAATATATTTTATTGATTTTTTACAGAGAGGAAGGGAGAGGGATAGAGAGGTAGAAACATTGATGAGAGAGAAACATTGGTCAGCTGCCTCCTGCACACTCCCTACTGGGGATGTGCCCACAACCAAGTACATTCTCTTGACCAGAATCGAACCTGGGACCCTTGAGTCCGAAGGCCGATGCTCTATCCTCTGAGCCAAACCGGTTAGGGCTCCAGGATGTTTTTAATGTCTTCCTTGATCTCTTTGGTAACCCAATCATTGTTTAATAGCATGCTATTTTTTACTTTTATTTTTATTTTGGTAAATTGAATTTGTTGCACTTTTTTATTTGTTTTATTGCTTAAAGTATTACAAAGAATATTACATGTCTCCTTTTTTTCCCACCCTTGACAATCCCCCGGCCTCCCCAAACCCCCCCCCCCAGTGTATTATGTCCATTGGTTATGCTGATATGCATGCATACAAGTCCTTCGGGTGATCTCTTACCCTCCCCTCCTGACCCCCAACCCTCTCCGGCCTTCCCGCTGTACTTTGACAGTCTGTTTGAGGTTGCTCTGACTCTGTATCTATTTTTGTTCATAAGTATATAATGGTCTTTATTATCCATAAATGAGTAAGATCATGTGGTATTTTTCCTTCATTGACTGGCTTATTTCATTTAGCATAATGCTCTCCAGTTCCATCCATGCTGTTGCAAATGGTAAGAATTACTTCTTTTTTACAGCAGCATAGTATTCCATCATGTAGATGTACCACAGTTTTCATTTTTTTAAATTATCTACTCTGCATGTTTCATAATAGCATAATAAATTATAATACTACTTTTATAAACAGTGTAAATAAACATAATTTGGGAGTATATGCTTAAATAACATTTTAAAATTGGAGTATTACTCTGCTCAACCTTTTTTATTTATTAATTTTTTTATTGCTTAAAGTATTACAAAGGGTATGTGTCCTTTTTCCCCCCCTGCCCTTTACAGTCCCCTGGCCTCCCCTACCCCCCAATGTCTTATGTCCATTGGTTATGCTTATATGCATGCATAAAAGTCCTTCGGTTGATCTCTTACCCCCCTCCCTCCTGCCCTCCAACCCTTCCCGGCCTTCCCGCTGCAGTTTGACAATCTGTTTGAGGCAGCTCTGCCTCTGTATCTATTATTGTTCAAAAGTTTATAATGGTCTCTATTATCCATGAATGAGTGAGATCATGTGGTATTTTTCCTTCATTGATTGGCTTATTTCACTTACTATAATGCTCTCCAGTTCCATCCATGCCGTTGCAAATGGTAAGAGTTCCTTCTTTTTTACAGCAGCATAGTATTCCATCGTGTAGATGTACCACAGTTTTCTAATCCATTCATCTACTGATGGGCACTTAGGCTGTTTCCAAATCTTAGCTATGGTGAATTGTGTTGCTATGAACATAAGGGTGCATATATCCTTTCTGATTGGTGTTTCTGGTTTCTTGGGATATATTCCTAGAAGTGGGATCACAGGATCGAATGGGAGTTCCATTTTTAGTTTTTTGAGGAAACTCCATACTGTCTTCCATAGTGGCTGCACCAGTCTGCATTCCCACCAGCAGTGCACAAGTGTTCCTTTTTCTCCACATCCTCTCCAGCACTTGTCATTTGTTGATTTGTTGATAGCCATTCTGACAGGTGTGAGATGGCACCTCATTGTTGTTTTGATTTGCATCTCTCAGATGATTAGTGACTTTGAGCATGTTTTCATGTCTCTTGGCTTTCTGAATGTCCTCTTTTGAAAGGTGTCTATTTAGGTCCTTTGCCCATTTTTTGATTGGATTGTTTCTCTTCCTTTTGTTAAGTTGTATGAGTTCCCTATAAATGTTGGAGATTAAACCCTTATCGGTGATAACATTGGCAAATACATTCTCCCATGCAGTGGGCTTTCTTGTTGTTTTGTTGATGCTTTCTTTTGCTGTGCAGAAGCTTTTTATTTTGATGTAGTCCCATTTGTTTATTTTCTCTTTAGTTTCCAATGCCCTAGGAGCTGTATCAGTGAAGAAATTGCTTCGGCATATGTCTGAGATTTTGTTGCCTTTGCATTCTTCTAGTACTTTTATGGTTTCCTGTCGTATATTTTAGTCCTTTATCCATTTTGAGTTTATTTTTGTGTATGGTGTAAGTTGGTGGTTTAGTTTCATTTTCTTGCATGTATCTGTCCAATTTTCCCAACACCATTTATTGAAGAGACTATCTTGACTCCATTGTATGTTCATGCCTCCTTTGTTGAATATTAATTCAACATATTCAGCATATTGGTTGGGGCCGATTTCTGGGCTCTCTATTCTATTCCATTGATCTATATGTCTGTTCTTGTGCCACTACCAGGCCGTTTTGAGAACAGTGGCTTTGTAATACCGCTTGATATCTGGTATTGAGATCTCACCTACTTTGTTCTTTCTCATGATCGCTGCAGCTATTCGGGGTCTTTTTAAATTCCAGACTAGTGGCCCGGTGCACGAAATTCATGCATGGGAGGAGGGTGTCCCTCAGCCCAGCCTGCACCCTCTCCAATCTCGGACCCTTTGGGGGATGTCGACTACTGGTTTAGGCCTGATCCCAGGATGTCCGACTGCCAGGATCGGGTCTAATCTGGCAGTTGGACATCCCTTTCACAATCCTGGACCGCTGTCTCCTAACCACTCACCTGCGTGCCTGCCTGATTGCTCCTAATTCGTGCACGGGAGCAGGGAGTTCCTCAGCCTGGCCTGCACCCTCTCCAATTTGGGACCCCTCAGGGCTGCTGGCACCTAACTGCTCACCTGCCTGCTGGCCTGATCCCTCTAACTGCTCTCCCCTGATGGTCTGATACCCTTAACTGCTCTCCCCTGCCGTCCTGATCCTCCTAACTGCTCTCCCCTGCCTGCCTGATCACCTCTAACCGCCTCTGCCTCAGCCCTGCCACCATGGCTTTGTCCGGAAGGACGTCTGGAACCTCGTCTGGAAGATGTTCAGTCTAATTAGCATATTACCTTTTTATTAGTATAGATGCC